TTCACATTTTAAGTATCTTCATTTTTAAAATAATTTCAAACATCAGTATTCAATGTTTTATGTTTAAAATATCAAAACATTATGCATTTGTAACTGCAGGTTAAAGCACTCCATGTCCCTCTGAGCTGAATTAAATAGTGTGTGAATACATCTAAATGCCACTTCAGATGCAACTTCTGCAAAGATAAATTTGATTGATACTGGTTTCATTTGTTTGGGAACAGCCTAAATGTCTTATTATTCTAATTGACTGATTAAATGTAACAATTTGACTCAAAAGATGCACACTTTTAGAAAAAATGGCTTTACTAAAGGTAAAAATGCCCATAAAAGGTAAAATTCAATTTAAACTTATATGAAAAGATTCATTTCTTTTCACTGATGTGAACTGACCACACAGAATGAAGAATATCAAAAACTGCAGCTGTCCATGGTAGTCAGATATCAGCACAATAACACACTTGGCAAAATATCATCTAATTATCGTTATCGAAAATATCCCAAAAAATATAGAGATATTATTTTTTTTCAATATCGCACACCCCTAGTTGCAACTTTATATCTCAAAGTCGTGACTATAATGTGACTCATATTTTGACATTTTTATTTCACAATTGCAACAAATGCTTCTCACAGTTGTGACTTTATATCTCGCAATGTGAATTCATATTTTACAAATATGAATCTAAAGACATACACTTTCAGTTTTCTTTTTTTTTTTCAAAAACATAAAAATAGGCAATACTTTTATTCAGCAAAGACATTAAATTGATTAAAAGTGACAGTAAATACATTTATAAAAAAGATTTAAATTTCAAATAAATGTTGTACTTTTGAACTTTTTTCAAATCAAAGAATCCTGAAAAAAGACCATTTCTACAAAAATATAAAGCAGCACAACTGTTTTCAACATTAATAACAAAAATAAATGTTTATTGAGCAGCAAATCAGCATATTGGATGCTGAAATTTCAGCTTTGCATCACAGGAATAAATTAAATTTTAAAATGTATATTAAAACAGAAAGCAGCTGTTTTAAATTGTACTAATATTTCACTATATTATTATTTTATACAGCAAATAAATCAAATAAGTGCAGCCTTGGTGAGCATAAGACACTTCTATCAAAATGTTGAAATTTACTATAAACTTTTTTACTCCAAACTGGCTTTTTGCAGAAGTTCATCAGTCTGTTGTGAGTTATAAATAAACCAGTCCAGAACTCGTACAATTAAATCCTGATTACATTTCCAAAAACACAAGAAACTCAGTGTTTTGTAAAGCAGTCCGTCTGAATACATTTACAAAAATGAATGTTTCTGACAGTAATGATGTAAAACAATGTCGTTAAATTACATCATAATAGAAATAACTGCTTATGCAGATCTTCTTGAATGGCAAAAACATGGAAATATAATAAAATGTTCAAAAACAAAGAAATAAGACACATGAGGCCCCTGAAGCCAGATGTTTTGCAGAACGTAGCTGTGTCGGCCTGCATTTATTATGGAAACAATCACACAACCCTTAATGACTAGACAAGCCCTAGTAGGTTAGATGCAGTCGTCCTCATATAAGACCACAGGGTATAATGCCGTGTCCATGTTTTGTGTAGTGAATTATAGTAAAAATGATTTATGTAAAGAGGCCAGGCATTTACTCAGCTCCAGAGCACGGCTATAAGCAAGATTATGGCATGTCTGTGTGCTGTGGGACAATGCCAGTTGTGTTTCTGACTGAATCGCATTGGTCTGCTGGAAACATTTATCTGTTTTAGTCACTCATTGTAAATGGTGTTCATTTTCATCTGTGCAGCAGCGCATCTTTCAGTTCCTTTCATGAGAGTGTCGATGAATTAAACAGACTGTGAGAATGGAACTCAAATTAGTGATGATTTGTCTCATTTGAGTCGGTTCTTTCTAGTGTTTCAGTCAAACCGATTCACAAAGCCTTTTGAAGTGAAGTACTGATGATTTATGTTAATCTATGTTATATATATATATATATATAATATAGTGTGTGTTTTTATATTATGTTGTGTTTTATATATTGTTTATGTTGCACTACATGACCTTTTAAATTGCCTTTAGTGGACAAATAAAGTGTTTGAATTGAATATATATAATTTTTTCATGTATTTCTTTTTTTCCAGATGTATATAGAAACAGTATGCACCGAATGAATCAAACCTGCTTGTTGTTTGCATTTCAGGAAAAGTGGTGTTTTATAAACCACAGATGCAAACCCTCTTTAACAAGAAAATATAACTATGCAAAGTACATTAATGCAAATCCTGGACAGCAGAGGAGTTACAGTGTGTCTCACCGCTGCTGTGACATTCACTCGTAAATTTGCATGATGAATCTCTTAGCATTTGAATAGCATATCATTCCTGCATGCATTCCCTCTCTTTTACCATAGGTAAATTATTAACAATGAAACATTATGAATATTGTCTTGTGAAAAATATAAAAAATATATACATTTTAAATATTTTATTTTTATTCCAATTACATGTTAAACATACAGTCTTAGTAAACAGGCCTATACAACTTATAGGTATTCCTGTAGCTCAAACAGGGAATGCATAAATTGATTTTAAAAGTTGTATACCTTGATTGCTTGATTGCAGTTTATGTTGCTTTTAATAAAAGAGTCTGCCAGAAGCATAAGTGTGAAATACGAAATGCAAATTTGAATGTACAATCCTAAACATACAAGATACAAAATGTAAAAGCATTGCTAAAATATACAGTGTTATTTTATAGCACTGGCTCCTTCTATTTTTCACTTAGACAGAGTTGATAGATCATATGTATGGCATCTCGTTGGTTGCCCTGGTAACTGTGGAGATGAGCGGGAAGGTGTGAAAGTGCAGGGTGTTGTTCCTTTGTCTTCCATCAGATCTCAAGATCTGCTCCTTCACTGAGAACATCAGGCAGGAATTCTCTAAAAACAGGGTTGTGAGGAGGAACTGCTTTAAAAAGCCATTGTAGCCACTTTATATGAGCTCCAGAAATAGTTGGAGTGACGTATTTGTGATCTTTTCTTATATTTCTTGGGAAGCATTCTGAGTGAGGAGTAAATACAAGCTAAAGTAAGTTTCTCTCTTGGGGATGTATATTGCACTGAAAGGTAATGACAGGCTGTGATGTGTCAGGATTCCCCAGATTACATGTTGTAGTTTCAGATTTATGTGGGATTGTGGTAGATTATGCGCACTAGTAGCTGTATGATGTGGTTTTAATGGGCTTTAAAATAAGATGGCTTGAATCCATGTTAATGAGAAATACTGTTAAAGTACTTGTGCAGTGACTTTTCCTGCCCCCATAATCCAGTGGGTTTAGTATAATACTGATGCTGTTTACACCAGCCAGCCAGCAAATCAGATTACAAGAGAGATCGTGAAAATGGATGAGTTCAGAAATGTGCCAGCGACACTGAAATATTGCTTGCAATTTTTTTTAATTCTTCACTCACTTTTGTATTTTTCTCTGTGCTGTTTATGGTATTTATGGAAATTCTGTACATGTTTGTCATCTTGCCTAACATCTCCTTGCATCTCTTGCAGGTTCTGGTGTGGTGAAGAATGCAGAGAGGATGCAGTAAAACCAAAACATAATCTATCACAATCACTGAAGAGTAAAGAGGATTTTGATTTGCAAAGAGAGACAAAAGGAAGTGACAATGGGGCGAAAGAAGATCCAAATTACTCGCATAATGCATGAGAGAAACAGACAGGTGAGACGAAGATGTCTGCTGCATGAATCCAGACTAAAACTGTAGTAAAGAAAAATGTTAGGTGCTTTCCAAGTCAGCTACTAGATGTTAAAGATAAATGTGCATTTAATTTCAGTAATTTGTGAAAAAAAAAAACAGTTCAAAATGGTGTTAAAACTCTTATTCAGCAAGAATGCATTAAATTGACCAAATATGACAGTAAAAGCAGTTATGTTAAAAGAGTTCTTTTTCAAATAAATACACTTTAAACTTCCTATTCATTAAATAATTATTTGAAATAATTATTGTATCACGGTTTCCACAAAAAAATATTAAGCAGCACAACTGTTTTCAACATTGATATTAATAAGAAATGTTTATTGACTGATTTCTGATGGATCACATGACACTGAAGACTGGAGTAATGGCTGACGAAAATCAGCTTTGCCATCACAGGAATAAATTCGATTTCAAAATATACTATAATATAAAACGTATTATAAATTGTAATAATATATCATAATATTACTGTTTTTTATTGTATTTTGATCAAAATATTGCAGCCTTGGTGAGACTTCTTTATCTTTAAAAATCATTTAATAATCTTACTTTGTGAACTGTAGTGTATTTTTGCACATAAATCAGCCATAATCCACACCAGTCTGTAGATATCAGCATTAACTAGTATAAAACTACTTTTTTTTTAAGATTTATTTTTGGCGTTTTATGCCTTTTATTTAGATAGGACAGTAGGTCGACAGGAAGCAAAGTGGGTGAGAGAGAGGGGGGGGTGGGATCAGAAAAGGTCCACAAGCCGGGACTCGAACTCGGGACGCCCGAAGCACAAATGCGCTACATGTCGGCGTGCTGCCCACGAGGCCATCGGCACCGACTATAAAACTAGTTCTTACTCAGAACTGGTTCCATTTTTTTAATAACCAAATTAAAACAAGCATGACCTTTGCAATTGATTCACGAGCAGGTAACTATTATAAACCGCATTTTTTGAAGGAATTGGTCAAAAACCTACTTAGACTTACAAATCAGACACAAACATTTACGTTATAAGTTTGAAGTGATTAAGTGACTTATTCAGTGACTCGGTTGGAGCGTTTCGCCACTGAACCACAGTTCGTTTTGTAGTGCTTCCTTTAAAGGGTTAAAAATGGAATTGTTAAGCATTCAGAATAATTCAAATACTTTTGATTCTAATCCATAATCAACAGCATCTGTAATCACTGGATACAAATGTTTATGACACAAAACAGTGACTTATAAATCAGCTTTGTAGACCATTGGAGCAGTAGGAACGTCCCACACCTTCATTCCTAACATACATTGATTTATATCTGTTCAAATGTTCGCTCAGGAGCGCCCCGTGTCTCTTAAGCGTGTTTAATGAATGGACAGGTCAGACTCGGGGTCTGTCGTTGTGGGACCGGGCTGACCCTCCTCCCTGCACACAGGAGCTCTTGTCTGGGTTCCTCAGCGGGCTGCAGTCCCTGTGGTGTGTAATTAGAGCAGTTAGAGCAGTTCTGGGCCCCACATCTCTCATTAGGACACTGGTCAGTCTGAGGGCTTGTACAGTGTCTCTCTCTGCCCCTGACGGCCATCACTCACACTAAAACCACAGGGACAGGCCTGAATTTACCCAGTCTGCACTGGAATGTAAGTTTAAAATACCAACCCGCACCACAAACCCTATCTAGTCTGGGCGCTCTTGTTCGGGAGAGTATTTTTGGTACACACAGTGTTTTTGATCAGTGATTTACACTGAAGGTTTTGAGTCAGTGACATACATACTGTATGTACGTAGAAATAGGTTCCTGTGTACATGAATAATTCCTCTGTACTGTATGTTGTTAGGTTGGTGTTAGTTTACTATATAGTTGAAAACCTTGATCTATTTTAAGTGCTAGCATGATGTAAGAAGCCCAGTGACTTCCTGTTAGCATTATCATTAGAAAAAACGTTTGCTTTTACCATATTTTTTGAATGTTTTAATCTTATGTTGACCAAGGTAATATTGTGAAATATTATTACAGTTTTAAATAACTGTTTGCTATTTGAAAATGTAATGTATTCTTGTGATGCAAAGCTGAATTTTCTTAGCATCATTACTCCAGTCTTCAGTGTCACATGATCCTTTAGAAATCATTCTAATATGCTGATATTCCATTCAGTTTACATTTATTATTATTATTATTATTAATGTTGAAAACAGTTGTGTTGCTTAATATGTTTTTGTGGAAACGGGGTTTTCAGGAATCTTTAATGAATAGAAACGTCAAAAGAGCAGCATTTATTATCAATAGAAATCATTTGTAACGTTATAAATGTCTTTAGTGTCACTTTTGTCAATTTAATGTGTCTTTGCTGAATAAAAGTATTAATTGCTTTCAAAAATTTTACTGACCCCAAACTTTAAAAATGATACTGTACATGATAGTACATCAGATGGTAATTTCATGGTGTATATGCCATCTGAGTACTGTATTTATATACAGTAGTAGGGTATGTATGTATATTGTACTCCAAAGTGTAAATAACATAGCATTAGAACCATATCCAGAAAAACATGGTATTGCCATACTTCACTTATTTAAAAAAAATGACATGTACCATGATTGTACCATAGTATTCCCGGAAGTACCATGTTAAAAAAGTACATGTGTACTGCCAGTTTTTTTCTTTTTATGGTACCATGCTCTAAAAACATGGTAAAACCGTGGTAATTTTGGTACGGTTGTCTTTCCAATCTAATATATTATGTTGTTGTTTTCATTCTTTTTGACTCTGATTACTCTTGGTCCACATTGTACATAACTTGACTGTAGTTTGGTTGAAATAGTTTTTTTTATCCAAAAGCACTAATCAATCCTCTGTAAGAGTCTCTGGAACGCTGTGTTTGAGCATTTCTAATGTGATTTTACACTGTGACATTGACAACAAACACGGAAATAATTTGTTCTCAGTGTTTCATGTACTGCTGTAAGAATTTGTCCCTCAGCTGTGAAGTGGCAGCAAGCTTGAGATTCCTCAGGGAGGGTGATAATTGGCAGGAAACATGAGATGATCTGGCAACCCTGACAGCTGGACTTCTTCCGATACTATTAATGAGCATACCCTCAGAAAAAAAAAAACAGTACAGTACCATAGTAGTTTCTGTAAGAATATTAAAAGCTTGAGGTTGTATGAAATATTACATATACTGCCATTTAAAAGTCAGATGATAAAACATACAGTAAAAGCATTAATATTGTGAAATTATTACAAATTTAAAAGCACTGTTTTCTGCTGTAATATATTTTAAAATGTAATTTATTTCTATATAGCAAAGCTGAATCAGCATCATTACTCCAGTCTTTAGTGTCACATGATCCTTCAATAATCATTCTAGACTGATTTGCTGCTCAAGAAACATTTATTATTATCAATGTTGAAAATAGTTGTGCCACTTAATATAGGGCTGTGCAATATATCGAAATTATCGAAATATCGCAAACGTACATATCGCAATATGCATATCGCTACAGCTTGCAATATTTGGGGCCATGAACAAAAGACAAAGAGAAAATCACTCACTGCTCTTACCTAAATAACTTTTGTAGCTTAAATAAGAATCAGTGCATATTGAATTCATAGAGTAAATACTAAGCAGTGTTGTATTTTTCCTTTTTATTATTCAGTTCCTAAACTCATGTTAAAATAACATTTTTATGTAATGCTCGAGTAAAACACATATCGTTCACTTTCAAAAGTTGTTGTAGGGGTGCTTTTTTATTAGAATCAGAATCAGAATGAGCTTTATTCACCACTTAAGTGTGCGCAAACACAAGGAATTTGTTGTGTTTTTACAGGAACTCTTGGTACATACATACATACAAATAACCATATATATATGACACAAGATAGTTCACAGAACAGACTCAGCAACAGCTGAGTAAAACTGTTTCATCTGAGCATGTGGCACTTTAAGTATTATCGTATCGCATATCGAATATCGCATTATTTATTGAGTTATCGCATATCGCATTTTTCTTCAATATCGCACAGCCCTAACTTAATATATTTTGTGGAAATTGTATGTTTTTTTTTTCTGGATTCTCTAATTAATAGAAAGTTGAAAAGAGCATATTGACATTTTGTTATTATATCCATAATTTGTTTCCATAATCTAGCTTTTGTCTGGACAAAAGCAATTATAACCAAATCAGTCAACAGTGAACAGTTCTTGATCAAGTTACTTGAACTCCTTTTTGATATTCATGACCACAAGGATAACATTTCTAACCTGCTTAATATTTCTCCTGTCATTTTCCTAGGTGACGTTCACAAAGAGGAAGTTTGGTCTGATGAAGAAGGCGTATGAGCTCAGTGTCCTGTGTGACTGTGAAATAGCCCTGATTATCTTCAACCGCTCCAATAAGCTCTTCCAGTACGCCAGCACAGACATGGACAAGGTCTTGCTCAAGTACACAGAATACAACGAACCTCATGAGAGCAGAACCAACTCGGACATTGTAGAAGTAAGTGGCTACACACTTCAGCGTGTGAAGTTCAAAAGCAGAATAAAATCTCAATTGCTATTTGTTGTAATATAATAACCGGTATTAAACTGACTGGTTTTAATGTGCTCCCATGTATATTTAAAAATGCTCTTATGACGTTTCACAGTAGTGATCTTGATTCACTCTGAATCTTATGACCTATATCTGATTTCACAGAACGGCCTTTAACAGATGACACTAATGCATGTAGTAGCAGTAGCATCTGGAGATGCGGGCTGCTTTTACTGTTGCTGTAATACAGTTAGCAAACTGTTGGGCCGCATTTCAAGCATGCAGGCTGAAGTAATTATAGATCACTGTCTTCAGTGAGGCATGTGCTCAAATTACATCTTCATTTTCACATGCATTTGCTCTGTTTACAATTAACATGTGATGCTAGCCAAGGTTATTCCGTGCTTTTCCTTTTACCATGTTATATAGGCAATTGTCATCTGTGTTTACATTGATTCATAATTGCTTTCATCCAAAGCGACTCATACACCACCTGTCAGAAGTTTGTATTACGATTTGACGAGTCTCTTATGCTCACAAAGGCTGCATTTATTTGATCAAAAATACAGTAAAACAGTAATATTGTGAAATAATATTAAAATAATTGTTTTCTGTGGAAGCCCGTTTCTGCCACAGGATAAAAAAAATGTAATTGTGATTTTTATTTTTTTTATCTCACAATTCTGACTTTTTTTCCTTGCAATTCTGAGAATAAACGTCTGGCGAGAGTCAGAAAGTCAGAATTGTGGTATAAAAAGTCGCAATTACCTTTTATTATTTTGTATTCCATAGCGGAAGCAAAACAAAACAGAATTGTGAGATAAACTCAGAATTCTGAGAAAAAAAGAGTCATAATTGCAAAATGTAAAATCAGAATTCTTAGAAACAAAGTCAAAATTGCAAAATATAAACTTAGATAAAATCTCAGAATTGCGAAATGTAAAAGTTCAAATCAGAGTTACATTTTGTTCTAAAAAAAACAAAACTTTTCACCAAAAATACAGTTTTTTTTTTGTATGTGCAATATTTGTTTGCAATAAGCAATGAGACTTTCTGTAGAGATACCAGGTTTAAAGTGAATGCATGTTCAGCGTCTAGCTATCTGTAGCTAAATGCTGGTGCTGAAGTCGTGTGAACAGATTTTGTGTGAGTGGTGCTAATTGGTTGTAGCTAAAAATAAGGATCCAGTCTTATCCAACATTCATACTGAGGAAACCTGAGATACTATCAGTCAAGGACGTGGCTTTCGTGGCGAGTGCTGCTCTCATTAGCCTCCATCACAAATCACTTACGTGTACCAGAAATGCATTTCTGAATCAAAGTTATGTGTGCTGGTCTCACATTAGCGTACACACTTACTACTGAGGTTGTGATTTACAGTATATTAGCATGCCATATAGCCTATAGGAACTTTGAGCTTAGTTGCCACTTTAATTTGATATTCAGACATTCAGAGATTGATAAGGAAGGTTATCTAAGAAAATTAATAAACCTGCCTCTAAGTTACAAATAATTATACTTCAGTGTTATAGGAATAGTTCACCCAAAAATGACAATTTGCTGAAAATGTCCTCACCCTCAGGCCATCCAAGATGTAGATGAGTTTGTTTCTTCATCAGAAGAGATTTGGAGAAATGTAGCATTACATCACTTGCTCACTAATGGATCCTCTGCAGTGAATGGGTGCCGTCAGAATGAGAGTCCAAACAGCTGATAAAAACATCACAATAATCCACAAGTAATCCACACCACTCCAGTCCATCGATTTACATTGTGTGAAGTGGAAAGCTGTGTGTTTGCAAGAAACAAATCCACTGTTAAGACGTCTTCAACTTTAAACCAGTGCTTCCAGCAAAAATACGAGTCAGTAATCTATAATATTGCTTTCTCCAGTGAAAAAGATGTCTCGTCTAAATCAGGAGAGAAATATGCACAGATTAAGTTACAAGCGAAAACAGTCCAAAACGCTTCTAAACAAATATGTTGGTGGGTTTTTATGTAAGAGAACAACAGGGGATGGATTTTGTCATTGGAGGAAGCGTTATTATGGATTATAAACCCTGGTATTTTGCCCAGAAACAACGGTTTGCTGTGGTTTGAAATAACTTAGTGATGGATTAGTTTCTTTCAAACACAGCTTTTCACTTCACAAGATGTGGTGTGAATTACTTGTGGATTATTGTGATGTTTTTATAAGATGTTTAGACTCTCATTCTGATGGCACCCATTCACTGCAGAGGATCCACTGGTGAGCAAGTGATGCAATGCTAAATTTCTCCAAATCTGTTCAGACGAAGAAACAAACTTTGGATGGCCTGAGGGTGAGTACATTTTGAGTTTATTTTCATTTTTGGGTGAACTGTTCCTTTAAGAGAAATGCAAATGTCCAGTTGCAAAGAAAAAAATTTAAATGCAATCTCTTCCTCAAGACAGATTGAAATGAGATTAAATGGAGAATTTTGCTTTAGCCTCCTGCGTCTCATACAGTATGTGTCTCCTCTACAGTTTATGAAGAGATTTAGTTGAGATTTGTAAGAGAATATTGTGTAATTTTTGTGTTTTATTGGAGATCGACCATAGCGGACCATTACGCATTGATTACTGAATGACTATACCTAGGAAATTGGTCATAAATTGCATTAACTCCTTCAACCTGGACGTCCTGGAGCCGATGATGATGATTAGAATAGGGCAGATCCTGACACATTAGTCAAAATCTTCACTGCATATCTTTTTGGTTTTGATTTCCATATGATTAGCGCTTAGATTTGTTTCCAGATTAATAGAGAATCAGAACCTCCTAGCTGAACTCTTTAACCTCTATCTCAGACATAGGCCCAGTTATAACATTAAAGCACAGAGTTACAGCATTACAGACGCCTGAGGATGAGATAGGCTTCTGATTTCCATTCACTCTCATAAGGGCCCTTAAACCGCTGCAAGAGGGTCCTCAATCTACTGTCCTGCACTTTTGCTTTGGCACTGACTGTAATATTCAGTAATAGGTAGGAAAATATTCTGTATGGATATAATACCTTGATGACATTTGCCTAAATGAGCAGTATATAACTGAGTTAAATGTATGCAATATTGCATCCCATAATGCAATGTACTCAGCTTGCCTTTTTTCATTTCCAGTGTGATAAGAGATCATAACTGGATGGCAACTGTTAAATTAAACATTCAATATGATGAGGTCACATGACAACAATATAAAACATAATAGTGTCTACTTTTTTACTTCCTATTTAAAAAATAAAACACACATACAGTGTAGCTGAATAATATATTTTGTATTTGGTTTATAGTTAATCTCTTATATATCATGCTCATTTGATGCTGTTCCAATATTATGTCTGCAGTGTGCACTCCATCCGTTTATAGTAAAAGGTGTTTTCAAAGAAGAAGAATTTGCATTTTTGTACTACTATCAGACTAGCCTTATATTTGTATATTTTTGCATATAGACATTGAAAATCATAGTGAATGTTAGAGTTTTAATGCCATCATACTGTTCTTCTTTGCTGCTCCTTACAGGTGCTGAACAAGAAGGAACAAAGAGGCTGTGACAGCCCAGATCCAGAAGCTTCATATGTCCTCACGCCTCACACGGAGGAGAAATATCAGAAGATTAATGAAGAGTTTGACAATATGATGAGAAATCACAAACTTGTGAGCAGTGTGATGCATGTTTTACGTCTTGGCATCCCTGTTAGACTACACTACTGTTCAAAAGTTTAGGATAGGAAAACGTTTTTTTCTCTCTTTTTTCCCACTTCCCTTGTGCTCACCACACCACCTTAGAAACTACATAGCAACACCTTTACAACCACTCTAGCAACCACAGTACAGTACCCACCTACAGTAGGTATCAACACTGTAAAAACAGCCAAAACACGTCCTTGCAACCATCCAGAACTCTAGCATTTGCACAGGTGACCACTACTAATCAGTGCTGGGTAGTAACTGATTACATGTAATCTGGATTAGGTAATCAGATTCCAAACATTAAGTACTTGTAATTAGATTATATTACATTTTTAAAAATTCTCATTATCAGATTACAGTTACTTTTTTATGGATTACATGATTACGTATTATTCACACAATAGCAGTAAATTATTCAGAATTTATGGATTCACCCCTGCCCTTATTTTTTTTTTTCTCGATTAAATTATTTTTTCTATATGAACCTACCACTTATATACATGAGACTAATTATGCAAAGTAACTAAACACTGCTGAGCATAGCTGTGAAAAATTATGTCTTCATCATATCCAGTGGCCTTTACTAATTATTAATATTGGAAGTCTGAACAAAAATATTTCAAACCTGGAAGACTTTGTCCATGTAATGTCATTAATGTTTGTTCATTTAATGTAGTGAGTGATTCCCAAGGTTTTGACATTTTTATGATTTCATTAATTATTAGCTTTTCATTAACACCCTACATTTTTTTTTTTTTTTCACAAACCCTAGTTTGGGATACCCTGCTGTAATATAATGTTCAATGCTTTTCTTGATATTGTTAATTGTTGTTGAAATATATTTTCTTTTATTGATTTTTTTATCTTTATTTATTAATTTTTTTAAGTCTTAGTGACAAACAAGTTGGGTCAAAAGTAATCAAAAAGTAGTCAGACTGCATTACCTAATATGTGTAATCCAGATTAAGTTACTTACTACAGTTTTTGTAATGTAATTTGTAATCAGTAACGCACTACGATTTGTAAGTAATCTACCCAGCACTGCTACTAATCTAATTTATCCCTTCACATCTCTCTCACATCTTCTTCTTTGTCTTCATCAGCCGGCTGCTCTGGGTCAGCAGGGTTATTCGATACCGCTGACTTTGCCCGTCACCAACCCCACCACGCTGTCCTACAGCACAGACAGCTCTCTGGACACCCCAGTGTCCCTCAGCGGGACGAACATGCTGTCTCTGTCCTCCAACAGCCTCCAGAGCAACAACAGCACTGCTGTCATGGGTCAGTATCTACTGCACATTACCATCACTTTTGAATGCGATACCATCATGATGTGGTTTCCCGGACATGATACATGATAATGCGTGCTGTACAATAGTAATTCCATGTTATGTTTTGAAGTAGCTTGGAATTCCATGTAAATACAGTGGTTGATATGCTAATCGTTCCTTTCCCTGGTATCAAAATATTATAGCATTGCCATTGCTTTGGTTCAGTCAAATCAGTCATACATCCAGTTGTTCCAAACCTGTAAAAATTAGCTTTAGCTCCTGGACACAAAATAAGATATTTTGAAGAATGTTGGTTGACGGTAGCCATTGACTTCCATGGTATTTTTTTCCCTACTATGGAAGTCAGTGGCTACCGTCAACTGTTTGGTTACCAACATTCTTCAAAATATCTTCTTTTGTGTCCAACATCTGAAAGAAATGAATTCAGGTTTGAAACAACTTGAAGGTGAGTAAATGATGACAGAATTTTCATTTTTGGGTGAAGTGTCACTTTTATCAGTCATATGAAGTTTCATTTTCATATGTTCAGATGGCATGCCAGGTTTCTCAGACATCACTCTTCCAAACGGTGTACACTCCAGTCATGTGGGTAGGTACTTCCTTTTTTGGTTAACTTATACAATGTGCCCGAATGTAATGATTAAGTTTCTCTAAGGTGTCAGTCTGTTTAAAGAACAAGCATTAAACATGTGATTTACTTCCCTGCATGCTGTGCAGTTCTACTTACATGAGAGATCAAATTACAAACCATTCACAATGTGAATGTTTTTAAAGAGCTGGATGTGTATATAATTTACTGTAATTTACTGTATTTTGGGCATGAAGCCATCAGTTTTCACTATACTGCAGTTATTTATGTTGCATATAAATGAAAGTAGATGAGAATGTGGCAGATCCTGTATGTGTGTTTATACAATATGTCTTTGTGTGTTAATCCTTGATGTTGATTGGTGTGGGCAGGATGTGAGGTCACGACTTCATGCAGGACAAGCTGATCTTTTTATTCATCACTAGTCTTTTCTGCATTTCTGATTTGTCTGTTAATGAAATGCTCCAGGTTAAAGACAAGTGAAGCTCTGTATCTTATAAAGATCTAGAGCTTCACTTCTCTTTAAGCTCTGTAGGCCTATATGCTGTCGTTTACTATAGAAAATAATTTTGATGTTTCTCAGTTAAAAACTGAGAATGTGTTTAAATGGTTTAAAGTCAGAAATTATATTCAAATGAAATTGTATATAATTGACAAAAAATGACTACATGAAAATTAAATACACTGCCATTTAAAAGTTTGGGGTCAGTTTTTTATTATTATTTTTTTTTATTTTATATTTTTCTTCAGTAAGGAGTCTAAGGACACATTAAATAATTTGAAGTGATAGCAAAGACATTTAAAAGGTATATTTCTCAATATTACTGTTTTTATTGAAGTTTTGATCAAATCAATGTAGCCTTGATGAACATCAGAGACTCCTTCAAAGATTCAAAGAACATTCAAAAATCTTACTGACACCAAACTTTTAAATGGAACTGTACATGTCAATAATATTTTTCAGTTTTTAAAATTATTTTGTCATCATTGATCCTGCCCACCCAAGGTTTACGTTTTTGACAACATCAGTGCACAGTTTTAATCTATACCTCAGTCATTAATTAATATCCCTTTTTGCTGTGCCTCATTCAGCTAATGGCTTTGTTGGCGGTTCAGAAGGAAACAGTATGGGAAGAGTCGTTTCTGCAAAATCTCAAGCGTCGTCTACATCGGGCCGCAAACCTGATCTCAGAGTGCTCATTCCTCCTGTGTGCAAGGGCACTGCTTCTTCACTGGTGAGAGTTTCTTTTGTCTGCCATCAGCTACAGATCTGTAATATGTCAGTGAAACATCCTGAAATCATTAGACAATGAGAAAGTATTGACCTGTCTGAAACTGTCCTTCCTTAAATCTATTCCTTGCAAGCCGCCAGAGGAAGGAGAGGAACATTTGGTAAGGGCAATTTGATAAAGTTTTATTCAGAAAAGCTTTTAAAAAATGACTCATTAACTAGGTCATAAAAAATGTAAGAAAATCGGCTGTGATACAGCTAGCTAATGTTTAACAGTTAGATGCTATGAGGCCATCTAGTGGTTCAGTGAAACATCACAGTCAAAGCTTACACCGAAACCTTCATAAACTGCTCTGTTTATGGTTAACTCAAAACTATATAATATTAACTGAAAACCTAGTCCCAAAGATTATTTAGACAATTAAGAGATGTATATTGCTTTGTTCTGTTTTTTGTTTTGCTTTGTTTTGTTTTTTGCCGTTCTGTTCTTTTATTTTATTTTGTTTTGTTCTGTTATGTTTTCTTGTGTTTTTTTTTTGCTTTTTTCTGGTCTGTTCTGTTTTTTTGTTTTCTTTTTGTTCTGTTCTTTTATTTAATTTAGTTTAGTTTTTTATTTGCTATGTTCCGTTTTGTTTTATTTTGTTTTGTGTTCTATTCTATTCCATTATGTTTATTTAATTTTATTATTTTGTTTTGTTTTTCATTTAATATAGTGTCATTTAGTCATTTTAAGTGTGGTTGAAGTTGCCCAAATCTGTTGTTGTTTATGTTAGCTGATTAGTGGCACTTATTCATAATATCAGCTCCAACTCTGCATTATTTTGCAAAGGGATTTATGTTAGTCTGCTTACTGTGACAGTGCAGTATGATATACCAACATCGATGGTGCACTGTAAAACCGAACAGTGAAATTAATTAAATGAAATGAGTTAACTTCACTCAAATAATAATGAAAGTTCATTGAACTTAATTTTTTACACAAGATTAACATAGAGAGACATAAGTTAGTACTTAAATGTTGTGTTATGTTAGGATTTACATAGGTTTCTGTTATGTTGGTTTTGTAGTGTTACCGTTGTGGTGAAGAGTAGAGCCTGTGGTTAGGTTGAGGATGGACAGCAGAACTTAAAGACTATTTATACTGCATGTTGTTTCACTATTTACATGCAAGTATTGTGAGTCTTTTTGATAACTACATTAGTACGTGCCAGTGTGCTGTTGCTAACTAGCACTTAACTATAAAGATCTGAATGAATGTGCTGTTAATGGAAGCAAGTTGTATATAATTATCATTGTGATGAGTGGGGTGGGATCGTGGAAGCGAGGCTTGGCTTGGCTCCCATGGCTCTCAGCCCCGCCCCAATTGTCATAAAAATTTTAAGCTCTACTAACTTTCGTTCGTTTACTCAAATATTTTGAGGCAATAAGTTTCCTCAAATGTTTTGAGTATTCTTAACTTACCAGGTTTTACAGTGTGGTTAATATAAAATATTCAAAGGATTTCATTTTTGAGTAAAATATGAAAATGAATGAATAGGGAGCATATCATTTTACTGTTATCTGTTTTGCTCCACACAAATCAACCACTGTTGTTTGCACCATGTTCATTGTTTATTTAAACCTTAGAGAATAGACTACTCTCAGTCCAACCAATCACTGACCACACCCGTGGTATCCGTGGCAACCCCCAGTCTACATCCCCAGGGCCTTGTGTACTCAGCCATGACATCATTTTTCACTACAGGTATATAATTGACCTGTACATAATACATCATATAATACTATTTGATTCTGGACCTCATGACACTGGTGAAAGGCTATTCTACTATTTAACTCTTTCATTTTTTACAGATTTTGCCTTGAGCAGTACAGAGCCCAGTTCTTTACATAGCTTCAGTTCACCAGATGCTGTCACATCAGGAGCAGGGTCTTCATGGAAACACAGTCATCATGGTCAGCCAGGCTTCAGTGCCCAGAGGTGAGGATGTGGGATTGTGGCATGCATTTCCTTCATTCACCTATTAGTGTTAAATTGTTAAACCACAGAAAGATTTTATACCTAATTTGAAATGTACTTCATACACTTTACATTACATCTGCTGAAAGAAAAGTTCAAAAGTGGAATAAATTACTGGTACATACTGGTCAAGGGTCCAGCTAAACGTCATACCAGTTTGAGAGTGTTTTTTTTTTGGTTCAAAAGGGTCTAGCACAACTATAAATACACAACTGCGTTCACAAACCATTTAACATTTTCCCACCCACTGTTGTTTGTGAGAACAAAATGAGAAGGTTGTTTCAGGGGCAGTTACATTTATTCTTTTTGTTAACATTTTATTCTTTATGAATCATGCACAATCAGACCAGTAATATGTGTTAAAAAATATTATATCAATTTTGATTCAATGTTGACTTCAAGAAATACACTGTCATTGAAAAGGTTTAGGATTGTTGCACACCGTTTTCTCTGGTTTGTTTTTTTGCACTGAACACTACTTGAAAGTCGTGTTTAAAACCATAACTTCACTAGTTTTAAATTTAGTCAAAGGGATTTTCTTGAGTGATCAATACTCTTTGCATTATGCTTGTCGATTCATTTCTGCAAGAATGCAGCATAATGCTTTGAGTTACATTTTAAAGTCATTCAGCACTCTATTGCATCAGTAGATGCAAAGAAGATAGAGTAAAACATATTTAGCTGATTCAAGAGGCATCTGATCAACCTGGGGTGCCCCAAAATATGATGATATGTAATATACAATGATATAATCACTGCAACTTTACAGTTACTTGATCTTTTTTAACCATTAGGTGACAGCACCCCTAGATACTATGAATTATTAGTGCATCAAAACAAACTAAACTGCATTTATTCCTCCAGTAGCCTATGTAGCCTCACTTGAGACCGTTTTCGTTTGCAGACTGAATTTGAGCATATTTGTCATTCTCATAACGTCAAAGACAGATTTCATGCACAGCGCAAAGAAAACATGCAAAGAGTTTGTTTATATCCCAGTTAATGATAACGTTATCTCAGTCACAACTGGAAGAGAATTATAGCATCCGGACTGTTGTGAGAAACTCTTATCACAATCTGATCCATGTGACTGACAGATTACAGCAGCCTTGTTTTAAAGAACGACCCCGTTGGGCGACAATCAACAATTTCTCATGTGACAGTGAGCATTATGCTTGTCGATTCATTTCTGCAAGAATGCAGCATAATGCCTTGAGTTACATTTTAAAGTCATTCAGCACTCTATTGCATCCGTAGATGCAAAGAAGATAGAGTAAAACATATTTAGCTGATTCAAGAGGCATCCGATCAACCTGGGGTGCCCCAAAATTCAAAAGGGTCTAGCACAACTATAAATACACAACTGCGTTCACAAACCATTTAACATTTTCCCACCCACTGTTGTTTGTGAGAACAAAATGAGAAGGTTGTTTCAGGGGCAGTTACATTTATTCTTTTTGTTAACATTTTATTCTTTATGAATCATGCACAATCAGACCAGTAATATGTGTTAAAAAATATTATATCAATTTTGATTCAATGTTGACTTCAAGAAATACACTGTCATTGAAAAGGTTTAGGATTGTTGCAATTTTTTTTTGTGTCATTTTTTGGAAGTCTCTTATGCTCATCAAGGCTGTATTTATTTGATCAAAAATACAGTACAATCTTTTTAAATATTTTTTAAATATTATAACAATTGAAACTAACTGTTTTCTATTGTAATATATTTTAAAATGTAATTTATTTCTGGGATGCAAAGCTGAATTTTCAGCATCATTACTCCAGTCTTCAGTGTCACACGATCCTTCAGAAATCATTTTAATATGCTGATTTGCTGCTCAAGAAACATTTATTATTATTATCGTATCGTATTATGTTGTTCTGCATACTATTTTTGTGGAAACTGAATTATTTGATAAATAGAAAGTTCAAAAGAACAGCAATTGAAATCTTTTGTAGCATAATAAATGTCTTTATTTTCAGCTTTGTTTTGTTTAGGATGCTTTGAAGGACAAAGATGTATTGCATCTTGGCAAAATAAAAGTATTAATTTCTTAAAAAAAATAAAATATCTTACTGACCCCAAATTTTTGAACATTTTTGTAAATAGCATACTAATAACCATCCTTGTTTATATCCCAGTTAATGATAACGTTATCTCAGTCACAACTGGAAAAGAATTATAGCATCCGGACTGTTATGAGAAACTCTTATCACAATCTGATCCATGTGACTGACAGATTACAGCAGCCTTGTTTTAAAGAACGACCCCGTTGGGCGGCAAACAACAATTTCTCATGGGACAGTGAGTGTGTTTCTCCAGGGGGCGCTTGGTGGCTCAGAACGCAGAATTCTCCATTGAGCCCCATTCAAATCTCTCGTATCGTATTATGTTGTTCTGCATACTATTTTTGTGGAAACTGAATTATTTGATAAATAGAAAGTTCAAAAGAACAGCAATTGAAATCTTTTGTAGCATAATAAATGTCTTTATTTTCAGCTTTGTTTTGTTTAGGATGCTTTGAAGGACAAAGATGTATTGCATCTTGGCAAAATAAAAGTATTAATTTCTTAAAAAAAATAAAATATCTTACTGACCCCAAATTTTTGAACATTTTTGTAAATAGCATACTAATAACCATCCTTGTTCTCTGCAGAACCACACAACCTCAAATTCAGGCTTCTGACTCCACCAACTAAAACGTAAATAATGGCACTGAGGACCATTAATATCGATTAAATGCACAATTGATATTTAAATAAACATCTATTTTTTAGACCCAGCTTACCTGACCAATTATGGACAACTTCCGGGCCAGTAATATCTAGTAATGAATCATGCTAATCGCTTTTCTGCTCACTTGTTGTATTTCGGTAGCTCATCAGTGAAGTCTTGCTGTATTACTCATGTCACTCGTACTAGAGTAGCAAGTTAGTGAAAGCACTGCTGTGAACACATGAGATGTTTTCTCTTTGATCCAAAACGTCGTTGGTTTAAAGGAAATGGATTAAACCCTGAGCTCAGGTAGGAATACTTCTGTTACAGTGATTTATTCAAATGAATGTCTATATATTCAAATAAATGAAAACGAAATGTTTCAATGTTGAATCATCTACCTGTTGGGACTGTCCCACAAGTGAATGTGCATGCATTTGATTGCTGTTAATTCATTTCCATTTCCAATGTGTCTTGCAATTTTTGTTTAGCCTACTTTATTTTGTTAACACTCCTTCCATATTGTGCAAATATTAGGACAGACAGATATGATCCAGCATAATGCATCTGTTTGTTTCATAACTGCTGCATTCTTCGCATTTTCAGTTGTCACTTTGCAGACAGTATTAGATCCTTCTTTGTGGAAGTGAATGTTGTTTCATTGTTTGTGTTGTGGGAGGGACAATGTGTAATAATCTTTTGTTAATTTGTCTTCAGTAGGAAAAAATAATATTGTGTTGACACATTCCTTTGTGAGTTTAAAAAGCTAAAAATATTTTCTTGTGCTTGGAATTCTCTTACATTACCTTCCTTTTACAGAGCACTATAACAGGTTCCCATGAAAAGGCATTGGTCAAAATGTGTGGGAACCAGATGGATGGATAGACAAGCAGATATTCTGGGCTATATTTGAAAATGCACAGTGCATCCATTGGATTTATTTTGCTTTATGTTATCCTTAGTATCTAGACATAGCAACCATATATGGAGGAAACTAGACAAACTCAGGTGTGCACAGATGGATTGTAAATATCATATAGCATTGCTCTGACAGCTGTATGTGGCTCTAGACTCATTGTACTGCTGGGACTGTACAAGTCAATGAAGTGATAATACTGATGGCCAATGGATCAAACAGAGGAAGTGTGTTTGAAGCATTATAAAAGCCGCATGGATGCCATTTGGACCACACCACCTTAACGGTTAGCTCAAACCCAACTTTTCGACCAGCTTTATTGACTTAAAAGTTAATGATTATATGCAGTTTGGGTAAGTGGTTGTATCTCACGCCTAATTTAGCTGATGTTGGTGTGTCTATTGTGCTGGATATCAGTATAGCCACAGATCGTCTTTTATTGGTTGCCATATTTGAAATGTTTTTCAGTGTAATCCAACATTTAGGATTTTTAAACACTGATTTCTTAGAATTAGCCTTTGACCAAGAGATTGCATTTGAAGTTATGTTATCATTAACTTCAAAGTGAAAGTGTTCATGAAATCTGATGTAAATAAACTTTTGCAATATTGGGTATTTTCTGAAATTTGATTGTAAAATATCGTAGTTACTGAACTATAGTTATAGTTGTAAAAGTAAAAGTAATATATTGATAGTTCCTCAAAGTGTCATCTCAAATTATCAGTATAGTTTAGACTTCAGGATAACATACGGTGCAAGAGTCAGACAGATTCGAAACTTGCTGTCTTGTATGTTAATCTAAATCAAACTATTTAGCATGATAGTTTTGAAGTAATTTTGACACAGACCAAGAATTATCTGTGGTGTTTCTCAAAAGCCACCACTGTGATATTTACCTAGCCATTTCCTCAAACTTGTTAGCTGGCTGTAATCCAGTCCATGGCTGTAGTGGGAGATGCGTCCCAGACAGGTCAAGTTTTTGTAAAAATTTCTAGTGTCGCAAAAGTGAGACAGATTTTGAGGATACTCGGCATGTAAGCATAATATCCTGAATCTTTAAATCTTAAGTTCATGTTCACAGTATTTAAACCCATAAGAGGATTATGCAGCTATTGCTTTTTAGAAATGATTTATATATACCTACACACTATTACACTGCATATATGCCATTACTCCAGTCTTCAGTGTCACATGATCCTTCAGAAATCATTCATTTGGTGATTTAAGAAACATTTATTATTATTGATGTTGGAAACCGTGAAAACCGTGATACATTTTTTTCAGTATTCTTCGATGAATAGAAAAAAAACAGTAGAACAGCATTTATTTCAAATAGATTTTTTATGTCAATGTCTTTACTGTCATTTTTGATCAATTGAACTTGTCCTTGCTGAATAACAGTAATTAATTTTGGAGAAAAAATCTTACTGACCCCAAACATTTGATAGATAGATCTATCTATCTATCTATCTATCTTATCTATCTAATGTTTGGGGTCAGTAAGATATATATATATATATATATTGTATATAGGCTGTACTGTGTAGCAACTGTAATAGTAATAATAATAAAAAATAATCTTAATGATTAAATTGCTGTACTTGGTTGGCAAAGCTCGTCATCTCAATAAATCTAGACATTGCTTTTTATGACTTACACACAACACACATTTGGCCTATTTTGATAAGTGCAGCTTAAAGGATTAGTTTTCAACATGTTATACTCTCTAGTTCCCGAGTGTTTGTGCATTTGAAATATTCTGGTATGCTATTTTTTTTCTTCTCTTCTTCGACTACAAGCATTGCTGCTGAAGGTGGTTATAGTGTGTTCTGGCTTTGGGTGCCTACCTACAAACCAAAATCAAAGTCAAAAAAGCCCATCCCAAGTCTTTCTGTCATCATTTGCCAGGTGGCGTTTGTGACGCAGATGACACAATAGCATCTCAATTGATCATCATTTGCATCATTCATGTCTGCTCTGAAGTTTAATTCTTCATTGGGTCAGGTTTGTTTATATCCCTAACCCTATAAGCATGAGCAATAATAATAGTGATGCTTGCCTTAGCAAACACCTGTGTCACCTGTGTCTCTTTTCCATTATCACTGATGTGTGAAAAAACCCTGATGTGTAGCTGTAAAGTCAAATTATGCTTCCACACAAAGGGAGGCAGAGGGATGAGCTTGTGGCTTGAATTACACCCACAACATGTTAGGCCTGTTTAAAACAAATGAAAGATGACTTTAGAGAAATCAGGTCTGAGGTGACAGTATTGGCCATGAATCATAGTGCAGATTTATGGAAACCTCAAACATGTACGTTCTTAATTGATTGTTCTCTCCTCAGCTGAAAAAGAAACTGAAAAAAAAATCAATATATAGGCACAGCAAATGTTTGGTCACTTATAGATGATTAACATATCTGCTACATTGTTTTAGGATAGGCTTCCCAGCACCTCTAACAAAACATAATTGTCTCTCAAGATATGTGTCTTAACCATATGGTCAAAACCAGTCTTAAGTCGCTGGGGTATATTTGTAGCAATAGCCAAAAATACATTGTATGGGTCAAAATTACTGATTTTTCAAAAATCATTTGGATATTTCATGTTGGAATTCATGTTCCATGAAGATATTTTGTAAATTTCCGTTAAATATATACTGTATGTATTATATTATATTTTTCAAACTGCTAAAATGACTGGATTACAGAAAACTTTGTAAAAAAAAAAAACGGTTTCCTTATATCAAGATGTGGCACACCCATGAAGTTAACATGAAGTAAGTCTCTTATCATCCCAACAAATTTGCTACCATATTTACTCTATATATATGTGACCCTGGAGCACAAAACCAGTCTTAAGTCGCTGGGGTATATTTGTAGCAATAGCCAAAAATACATTGTATGGGTCAAAATTATAGATTTTTCAAAAATCATTTGGATATTTCATGTTGGAATTCATGTTCCATGAAGATATTTTGTAAATTTCCTATTGTAAATATATTAACTTAATTTTTGATTAGTAATATGCATTGCTAAGAACGTCATTTGGACCACTTTAAAGGCGATTTTCTCAATATTTCGATTTTTTTGCACCCTCATATTCCAGATTTTCAAATAGTTGTATCTCGGCCAAATATTGTCCTATCCTAACAAACCATACATCAATGGAAAGCTTTTTTTATTCAGCTTTCAGATGATGTATACATCTCAATTTCGAAAAATGTACCCTTATGACTGGTTTTGTGGTCCAGGGTCACGTATACAGTATTTATGTGTATACTATGTAAATATTTTAAATTACTGTACGTTTATTATGCATGCAGCTTTAATGAAATGCTGTATGTTTGTATTAATTGAGAGACTTCATGAAATGTTTGTACCACAGGAGCATTTAAAAGGAACTATGAATGGAAAAGTAACAAATGTTTGCTTTAATGGCAGATCAAGTTGCATAAAGGAACATGCAGATTGACACGTGTCAGTTTAAACAAGGTTTATTGATATTACAGTCTGCTGATATTAACAGTCTTTACAGCACACTGTATTTATGGTCATCTGACACGACACGTTTTCCACAGGTGAAAGTAACCATGATATTTTTCATATTCAGTTGTCTTTACCTACTAATACTAGCAAGTCAGTGCATGTAAGCCTACAACCATTTTTCTGTTAGTTTTGCATGAAATTATTTTCATATAATCAAACTGCTCCCCTTGAATTCAGACTTTAAAGAAGAGACCGATTTAGTCATAAATAACTTGAATGTACTTTTGCAAATCAATAAACAAGGCGACTAGGCGAGGGGTGGCTAGATGACTTGGTGACATCACATGAACAAGGAAAGTGATTAAATTGTACTTTATTTTTTTGAATTACTTATTTGTGATTGTATTTATTTGCACTGATTAATCATTCCAAAGTCCTTTTAAGGCAGGTTAGTTTATCTAAAAAACTACTTGGTAAGATTATGCTTCAGTAACATATTTCAAATCAACAATAGACTCTAACAGGGAACACTACTTTTGCAACTCGAACACTAACAGGTATGGAATCCTAAATGTAGCTTCTTAGGCTCAAATCACTAGACTTTCATTCCAACTGCCACAAATACCAATTCTCTTCTTTATTTTTCCATGAGTGGTCAATCAACTCCACTTCTTGCATTCATTTTAAGACCAGGAGCATGTGCTGTGAAAGTAAATAGGGTCAGTTTTGTGACATTTTTGTGTTTAATTTACTTTCTCGTATTGTCCTTGCAGGTCTTGGACACAAGCCAGCTCTATGTGAGAGAGAGGCCTTTGCAACCAACTTTGCGAAATCCACCTAAACACACACTCCAACGCTCTTCTCATGGAGGACAAAAAGTCCATGATTGGCAGTTTGCGCCAAAAAGCCAAACTCTTCCGATACTCGCGGGTTGGCAGCGACAAAAACCCCAACAAGCCAGAGGTGAGGGAAGAGCGCTTGTTGGACCAGCGGATGAACACGTCTATGTTGGACGTCCTGCAGAGGAGTCGAACGTCCTCCCTAAAACGCTCCGCCCACCAGCAGCCAGCTGACCTCAGGACGTCCACGGCTTGCAACAGTAGCCCAACCACCCCCCTCAGCGTGACTCTGCGAAAGAAAGGGGGCGGCACCGGCCTCGTCGATTCGCTGGACTCGACCGGCTGGCCGTCGCAGGAGTCAGTCACTGATGCCCCGTGTGAGGAGCACAACATCTCCAAATCCACAGATGAGATGGATCAGGTGCTGCGTTTGAGGGACACACCGCTTGCGTCATCAGAGAGCCTGGCTGAGGTAAAACGTGCCAGTGATCTTCAGTTGGGTTAATCATCAAAGGAGGGAGGAAGTTTTCTGTGACTGCTTTTTCTGCTTTTTCTGGGCAACATCTAGCAAGATTGTGTTACGCGAACCTGTTTGCATTTGATGCTTTTGGTGAACTTAGTACTTCCTTGTGTTCTTTTCATTTTTATCAACTGCATATTTCATGAAGATCACACAGAAAACTTGCTTTTTTTATTGAAATGGTTTGCAATTGCATGCATTTCTGGTAGCTTTCATTGCATTGGCATGCTGTTAGGATTTTAATTGAAATGAAAAATCTTTCATTCAAGTTAGACAATGCACAGTTTTTCACCGTCTTCTATTTTGCCTACTCACCTCCAGAGAACAGTGCAAAGCATCTCTCTATTGTGAAATGCAGTTCCTCTGAACACTAGCAAGTCATCACTGCAGGAACTTGTCATAACATTTCAAAGCCCTAGAATGTGGTAACACACATTTAGAGCAGACTGGTGCTTCTCCATTTGTTTAAAATGCAAATGGGCACCCGGGAAGTGTCAAGCTACATTTACGGTACTGTATGGCACCAAAAATAACACACAAACGGAGATCTTTCATGGTGAGGTGGAGGTAGATGTTTACTAGTTATGTAACGCTGCTTCCTTTTGCATTGGTGATCTTTCTCTTTAATCTTAGTAGAGTTATCATATTTTTTGATGCTTGGATGCTGGATAGTATGCGAGAATATTTGCCTTTACGGGTGAGTCAGCTACTCGTTTTTCAAGGTGATTTGGCTTGTAATACCTTAAACACAGAATCACCTGATGTTGAAAGATTAACTTGGGATTTTCAGTGAGGAAGAAAAACCCTACACTGTGCTTTGTTTTTATTAAAAGAACATGATCTTTAAAAGCTTTTCGAATAAGCTATTTTACAAGTGTGTTATATTTAAGTAATGTATGCATTTTTGAGGTTTCCTAGCAGTGGAAACTTTAATTCCTCAAGTTCTTTGTTTATGTGGCTTAGCATTCATTCTCCCTGGGGCTAAGGAATTTTTAAGAAAGATGATCTTCAGTGTTATTCTAGAAATATGTTCCATGAAATTAGAAGTCACCAATACAAAAGAACTGTTTTTGACTACTAGAGACTGACTTTAGATAAATGAGGAAATTTCTTTACACCATTGATTCATGAATTAGTAGCTTTTTTATCATATCTAGAAAAGTATTTCACTCTTCCATTTGTTTTGTTTGTGTTTGGGAAACAGAAGCCGCATTTGAACAGAAATGGTTCAGATACGTTCTCCATACATGACAGTGAGCACAATAATGTAAGTATTAGCATGTTTGGTGTGTGTGTGTGTGTGTGTGTGTTATTTTGTTGTGTTTAAGTCTACTATTACATGATATCAGAGGACGTTTAGTAGAATACATGCAGCTGACATTGTACTTTAAATGTCCCTGAAATGGACCAAACTGTGCGTAATAGTGTTCTTTTTCCAAAGCTGACATTGAAGGCTCAAAGTTTGCTTCCTGACCATGTGAAAGTTGCATAAAACAGCATTTTACCTTGGTAGTTCTCCCTAGTACTAGATTTTTATGTGGCAAGGATGGAACAATATTGCGCCCTTCACTTGCAGAACGCAAGCTTCTAGAGGGCACATACGTCTGAAGTAATGAATTTAGATAAAGGGGTGCAGAGCCAGTGGTGGTTTTGTAGGCAAACATTAATGCCTTGAATTTAATGCGAGCAGCTACTGGTAGCCAGTGCAAATTGATGAACAGAGGTGTGACGTGCATTCTTTTCGGCTCGTTAAAGACTAATCTTGCAGCCACCTTCTGTATTAATTGTAAAGGTTTGATAGAAGTGGCTGGAAGACCTGCCAAAAGAGCATTGCAATAGTCCAGCCTGGATAGAACAAGAGCTTGAACAAAGAGTTGTAAAGCATGTTCTGAAAGAAAGGGCCTGATCTTCCTAATGTTGTATAAAGCACATCTGCAGAACCGGACAGTTTTAGCAGTGTGGTCTGAAAAATCTTATGGTTGATGTGCCTCATTGCCTCATGATCTCCCTTTTTGTTTTTATTGTATTTTTCATCAAATTAATGCAGCCTCGGTGAGCATAAGAGACTTTCAAAAATCAAAAAATTTTTTTACTGACCCCAAACTTTTGTATGGTAGAGTAAGAAAAAAATCAATCGGAATTCATATGCAAATAACACACTGACTTTTTAGCAATTCGATTGTGAATAATGAATAATAATACTATTAGTGTTAGTCAATGGGAGAAAGTTAAAAAAAATTATGATGAAGTAGTAAAAAAAGAAGTAAGGGGGTAAAGCTACATGTGAGTAGTACTATATAAAGAAAGTGTATATTTGAGATGGTGTAACTAGTCACCACTTCTCTATTTGTTCACTATTTTTAATGACCATTTATGTTTTTTCAGTTCCCTAAATTGATCAATTAATATGAGTTCCTAAATGACAAAATTGCTGCTGTCTCTGCTTGACATGTCATGTCACACTATCCAGATATGACTCGTATAAAAATTTGTATTCTCTCATATATATATATATATATATATTTTAAAATCAGATTCTGGACATGAAGACAGAAACAGCTGGAGTGAATGAGCATCAGAGGGAAGCTCAGAGAACGTACCTGCTCACTATATGCCTGAAGGAGGGCCGTGGACTGGTCATTAGAGACCGCTGCGGTGAGTGTCAGATATCTGTGTATAAACGCAACACACCCTGAAACGCTACACACAGCCCTATATTTTAATAACAATCAGTGGTTTTTGTATTAGTGCTTATTTGTTAAAGGTGTACCCATCAGCGGGAGTTAACACAGCAGAATGCGTTAACGTGATGTGTTTTCGCCAATATCAAAATATTTCCTTCCGGAGTTTACTGTGTAGAGACAAATTGTAAATAAGCTTTCAAAACATTGCTTTGTTTGTTTGAGTGGTCCAACATGTCTGCTACTGAATTAACCAATAGCGTGAGTTCAGGGTAGCACTATTTCTAACAACCCATTTAGCAGGGAATTGACTTATATGTCTGAGGTTGGAAGCTCGTTATTTTCAAATCATTATTTTTGCGGTTTTGTTGAGTAACAGTAGTGGCATAGAAATTATATACGTCACCTTTAATTATATTAAATATTAATAAAAAACGATAAAGTGATAAGTGAAAGTATGAACGCTAGCAAACATTTTAAATGATCAACCGGCTTTGACAGTGACAGTGTTACTAGGCTTTAAATGAACTTTATCACTCTTTGATCACTCAGCTTTGCTTTAGTTGACTGCTTTAACACCAGAACATGTGCATTACTTTCATACTTGAGCCAACATTCCTCTCGGCACATTTAAACCTGTCTGCAGCCACACCTGCATAGATGCAAGACACACCTTGAACCTTCAAAACACACTATTGACTTTACTGGCACATGAGGTACTCATCTAAGACATGTAAAAACACAGACAGGTGGAGACTAGGATATGCATTGGTATACTTCCTCTTCCCGAGTTCATTTACTGCTGTTTATTGTGTCTGTATTGCGTCATTGCTACGTGGCACATTGAACAAGCTCTTTTCCTGTTTATAACCCTGTGTATTTTGCTTTAATTTCATGATTTGTGGTCGTAGGCCTGTTAGGCTTTTTCAAAGCTATCCTGTTGTTACGTTTTCTCAAGAAGGCGAAACCAATCTTAATTGATCCTCCTTTAGAAAAAGACTGTTAGAAAGATTAGGATACTGTTACTGACGTCTTTCCTCCGTTCGTTTATTGGCTGTTTTCATAGGCGTGTCTATTATATAAGAGAAGCTTGAGATTTTACAGTGAGTATTTGCATGTTATAGTCGGTGTTTGCACACCTGCCTTTATTGTGGATGATATAGTCACTTATTACACGGCTCTGTGGAATACTTGATTCTGATTGGTCAATCGCACCATCCAGCGGTATGTTATTCCCAGATAACAACCGCCAAATTGAATAACACACCGCTCATCCGGGTACTACGAGTTATCTTGACCGGTACTACTTATATGCTTAACGAGTCACTCCGCTATCGTTGACTGTCTGGCGCCATCTTGTGACTGAAAACACTTAACCACCGCGTGTTACAATGGAATGTTCTTTGTTCCCTTTGGTTTTTGCCTTATTGTAGTGATGGCGAGATGAAGCCTTATGAAGCATTGAAGCTTTTCAAGGCTTTGTGCCAGTTAAGGCTTAGAAATAACGGTGAAGGAAAAAAATCTATTTCCACATAGACTAATCTATTTATATGAATATAATGTGTATTTCATAATGATTGTATAACATAATACAACATAACGGTGTAATAAACGTATTGGCTTGTAATGAATGGGGCTATCAAATGTGTGTAAATCAAGTCTTTGCTCATAATAGGCAGGAGGGCCAATATTATTAGTCTAAAACTGGAAAGTGGCTGAGTTTAACAGGGCAGAGGACTGTGAATTTACAAGATTCGAACCGCTTCCTGAACCAGTCTGGCTAAGCGAGGCTTTGGACGTCATCAATTACGTCATTGCTCTAAAGCAATTCAAGTCTCGATAAACGCTTCACTGAAAGCTGCCGGGATTTCTCGACACACGCTCCGAAGCCTCGGCACAGAACGTAACATCACTACTGTTCATGCTACGTCAAGTCTGTTCAAGTCAAGTCTCTGTTTGGATTATGTTTG